CTAACTTTGGTTAGTTGTATATGTACAGATCGCTGACAATTTTTTTACAAATAAATATGAGACATACTGTATATTTAAAACTAATATAAATATATTAACTATTTATTATAATTTTAAAAAATTAGAAAAAAGTTAATTTAAAAAAATTATTATATTAGTCATGGGACATTTCTTTTAATCAAGACTCAAAATATTATTTTTATAATACAATTTATATTGTGTGTAACAACAATGGGAGGGAAATGTTCCTTAACTGATATATAAATTAAAAACAATTGATTAATACTTATATTATAATATAAGAATTTTTATAAAAATTATAAAAAAGTTTATATTATTTAAATAAAATTATTTTTTAATGAAATTATATTTCAATTACATATTCAAAAATACAACTACTTAATAATAATAAAAAAATTTTTTATATTAACATTTACAAAATATAAATTAAAAATTATTAAATTATTTAAAAAGTATTGAATTAATTTTTATTTTTATACAATAATAATTCAAAATATATAAATAAAACTACTAAAATATTTATTAATAAAAATTTTTATTAAATTATATTTTAATTTTTAAATACGTAATTCAAACTTAAATTTTATTAATAATTTTTGTTAAATTATATATTAATTTTTTAATAATTCAAATTTAAATATTATTAAAAATTTTTTAAAAAAATATAAAAATAAAATTATTTAAAAAAATTTTAAAATTAGAACAGTTTATAGTAAAAAAATTTCAAATAATTTTATAAACTTAATAAAAAAAGAAATATAAAATAATAAATAATTCATTATTACTTTCTATACAATATTTTTTAAATAATAAATAATTAGTTGATTTTAAAAGGTTTTGTTACATACTATTAGAGATATATAAGATTATTAATGCAATAACAACAAATAAAATAATTAAAAAAAACCAAATTTTTATATTTTATTATATAATTAAACAAGTTGTTAAGTTTCCTTAATCTGTGCAGATCGGCATCAATTTATTTTTAGATTTATAATCGCAATTTTTGATAGATTCGAGCCGGAGGTCGCAAGAATAATCCATTGAAATAAGTGACGGAATAATGACTGTAGAAAATCAAGATATTGAAATGGAACATGTCGACGAGGCTGAAGGTGGAGAGAAAAAGGTGTCTGAAACAGATTCTTTAGTCTTATCAGGTGTGCATTCTTGAATGCATTGATAATTGAATCTTGAGATTTCGAATTTTAAGAAAAGACTCTAAATTTCAGAACTCAGGCAAAACTTTTTACTGCTCGAGCGTGCTGTTTCTACCATCGAATCTCGATTCACGACACGTGTTTTGAGGACGATCGCATCGATTAGAAAACGCTTGACTGCAGACATTTTGGCACAAGTTATTAAAGATGTTTACCCAAAAGGTTAGCAAGCTGATTTGAACAGTTTATTTAATGTCCTCTCATTGAGAAATATTGCAGTTTTCATGGAAGTCGTCATCAAGAAATGACATACTTACCAAGATACACGAAATTATCTGATCAGGAAAGCTTACAAACCATGAACTTTGAACTTTGACAAATAGATTCTGTCGATAAGAGCAGGCTCATAAATTACTTGGGCAAGGTATCAAAGTTCTCAACCATTTGACTAGGTCCATTCTAGTTTGCAAAAAAAATTTTAATTATATTTGAATAGGATTCTGGTAATATGGATCTTGATGTAGATGATCTGGCAAAAGACAATCTTCCTATATTGCCTGAAATCGACCTATACCTCTATCTACTGGTGATGATTTATTTATTGGACAAACAAGAATTCGAAAAGGTCATTATTATTAAATAATGTACACTCAGATTTCTGCGACATACTACTAACCATTAATAGTTATGTACAATATCGTTCACAGGGCATTCTATTGGCTAATGAAACAGTCGCCAAAATCCAAAGTTTGAATCGTCGTACCTTAGACCAATTGTCGTCGCGTATATACTTCTATTACGCGAGATTTTACGAACTTACAGGAAACTTGGCGGAGATTCGACCGTATGTACTAATGCTTTTGCATTCGTACATATTGCTCATGATTCATTAAGGATTATATATATAATGTTAGGACTTTGTTGGCCGCTCAGAGGACTGCTACTTTACGTCACGATGATGACTCTCAGGTAACAGTCATTTTCCACTTTAAGTTATATAGTCATTTTAATGGGTATATTAGCAACCTTATGTAATCTAGATCAAATAAATTCATTATTTTAATGCGTCTTCTCCAATATATAGGCCACCTTACTCAATCTATTATTGCGGAATTATTTTCATTATAATTTATACGACCAAGCAGATAAACTTGTTAGTAAAACTACCTTTCCTGAAACAGCGGTTAACAATCAACAGGCCCGATACATGTATTATCTAGGTAATTATCGGTATTTTCTTTAAATGGTCGAAATCTTTATTAGTTTTAACACAATTTCTATTTTACCTGTAGGCCGTATCAAAGCAATTCAACTGGACTACACGGTTTCCCATACCCACCTACTGCAAGCAATCCGTAAGGCCCCTCAGAATACTGTCACGGCTGGCTTTCAACAAGCTGTAATTACATTATCTTATTCTTAAAACTGTCTTTACAAATAAAACTTACTGAACATATAAAAAATATAGGTTTATAAACTTTCAATTATCGTTCAACTTTTAATGGGCGAAATTCCTGAGCGGTCTATATTTAGACAGCCTGTACTAAAAAAACCATTAGTTCCATATTTACACATTGTTCAAGGTTAGTTAACATAAGTAATCTCGTTTATCTTTGAAGTCCACTAGTTCATTTTTATTATTCCCATATGCATAGCCGTGAGGGTTGGTGACTTGTCAAAATTTCAGGAGACCCTGGCCAAATATAACGAAGTTTTTCGTGCCGATAAAACATATACTTTGATTCTAAGGTATAAATTATTAAATTTTCCTTAATTAAGTATTCGATATTTACGGTTATTATACTTGTTATCCAGGCTCCGACATAACGTAATTAAGACAGGCATTAGGATGATAAGTCTATCATATTCTCGAATATCTTTACGCGACATATGCTTGAAATTGCATTTGGATAGTGAAAAGGATGCAGAATACATTGTAGCAAAAGTATTTAACCAATCTTAATTGCTGATGATCTATAAAGTGAACATATGTTAATTTGTTCACATCGTTTTACTATTAAATTTTTAGGCTATCCGTGATGGTGTAATTGATGCTACCATAGATCACGAAAAAGGGTTTATGAAATCGAAGGTGAATTTTTGAGTCTTTTTATGACTTATATTTGTAAATCTTATTCATTTGTTTTTTTAATTAGGAAAATGTTGATATTTATTCAACGAATGAGCCTCAATATGCTTTCAATCAGCGTATCAGATTCTGCCTGAACCTCCACAATGAATCAGTCAAGGTTAATATTTTTTAAAAAACGAAATATTAATAGTTTTAAATTTTTTACTAATATATTTATATCCTTAATCCTTTAAAGGCTATGAGATTCCCACTTAATGCTCACCGCAAAGAGTTGGCGTCAGCTGAAGCTCTTCGTGAAAGAGAAAGGGAATTAGCCAAAGAAATTGCTGAAGGCGAAATGGATGAAGATGATGATGTTGGAGAATATTAGAAATGTTTTTGAATCTTATTCGTTCTTCAAGAATTTTATATTTATATTAAATATTCCCTTGTTAAACAAGAAAGGCCTTTAACATCTAAATCTGTTTCAGTTTTTGGTTGAACTGGTGATTAATATACAAGATAATGACAGTCATTTAATAAAACGTAAAACCTAAGAATACATTAAGGTTTATGTTATACTTTGCATAATTACGAATTTACTCTATTTCTCGGATCTTCGTCCATTAATTATGGTTCACAAGCCGCATAAAAACAGTTCCATAATTAAATAAATATATATTTTTTATTAAAATTATATTACTTTTTAAATATTATATAATAATTTTATTGTTAAAAATTAATTGGTTAATTTAATTTTCAAAATTAACAATAATTTTTATTTACAAATTAACCATTTTTCTATTAATAAAAGAATTAATAGAAAGAATTTATTAAAAAAAATTTTTAAATAAAACTTTAAATATAATTTGTTCTAAACAATAATTATTATATATTATATATTGTTAATAAAAATTGCTTTATTTTTAAATAATACAAATATATATACTGTATGTTGTTGGAACAAAATCAACAAATCAATTGTTATATCACAATCACCAATTATATTATGTCAAAAGAGGCATTTGAATATGATACAATTTATTAAAATATAATTAATAATTAGACAAGAATATTTTATTGTTTGTTTTATTACTTATATACAGTATTTCTTTTTTTATTATTTATATTTCCTATATACTAATCTATTTAAATCTTATAATAAAGCTATTTGACAAATTTTTTAAAAATTTATTTCATGTAACTTATTGTTTCTTGATTAAAAAACTAATGTATTTAAATATTATTGATATATTTTTTTACTTGATTATAATTAATTAATTTTTTGTTTTTAAGAAAATAAATAAAAAAAAATAATAAAACAAAAATAATACTATTTTGATAAATAAAATTCTTTTTAAATAACTAGATTTATCAATAATCTTTTATTATTATTATTTACAATTAGTATATTATATAGTTATTAACAAAAATAAATAAAGTAACACTAGTCCAAATTGGGTTATTCAGCTATTGAATTACAGTTGATTAAATTCAAATTTATTAATAAAGTTTATATCAAAGTTTTGTTGTTTAGTTCAATTTATGCCATTTGACACTTAAAAAAAACCCAATAATTCAGCAAAAAAGAATATAATATTCAGAAATAAAATTATTTGGCAATAAAATCATTTGGCAAAAAAAATATTTGGCAAAAAAATCATTTAGCAAAAAAATATTTCTAATTAAAAATATTCAACAATAAAGTTATAACATTCTGTAATAAAAATTATAACATTTGACAAATCAAATTATATATTTTCAATAAAAAAATTGCATTTATAATAATATTCAGCAAAATTTAATTAATACTTGATAAATTTATTAAAAA